TTATTATTATTATTATTGAAACTGAAGCAGCATATAGGTAAAAAGTAAACCATAAAAACGGTGTAAAATAACCAAATTCGGTAAAAATCTTACCAGCCCAATCGTTCTGACACGCGATCACCACCCAAGCCAACGCCAGCGCCCAAGCAATGCGTGACCAATTGTAGTAACTCGATCTGGCCGCTAGACTGATCTCGTGCTCGGGTCCTTGCAAATAATCATACAACCCGTAAACACACGCGATACCCGTCAAAATCGATGCTATCCACAGCGCTACAGCAATAGCCTGAAATTAATTTTAAGACCGTCTTATCTGACGACAAAAATATTTATGTTTTGCTCGATAAAATGACCTGAAATTAATTCCAGATCAACAATGAACTCACCCAATGTAGATGCAATTGTTTGCCTCGTGTTTTCTGCAAAAAATAACCCGTAAACACACCAATAACGTACGGTGTGAAACGGAGCCACGGTGCAAAATACACATTTTGCGTATAGTTAGCCGTTTTCTCCGGATCCATTGCACTGAAATTGCATTATCACTAACGTTATCACTTCATTATCATNAAAACTAACTCTCCAAACAGACCCACGTAACTGGCCGGAGAGTCGAAATGATAAAAGGTGATATAATTTGCCACAGTTGATAGTGCTATCAGAAGGAAGGCAACTACGCATCCGGCCTTCAGTGATAAAAACAACGGCACAATTAAAAGCGGTGAGAACACGTGAATCTGCCAATCCACAGCCAGATACCACGTTTGCCCCATACACTGAATTGTTGCTTTTAAATCAAAAATTATCACATTTCCAAACAATTATCACAAATTCCCTTCACGAACCTTACACAAATCAAAACTTTCCGAGCATATCTATGAAATTTTCAATCATTTTGATTGAATTTTCACTAAATATGATAATTATTTTCAAAAATTATCACAATTTCGAACAATTAATAAAGATTTTTATCAAGAACCGTACCAAAATCAAAATTTTTTGCGGATATTCGTGAAAATTTGCAGTAATTTTGATTGAATATTCACTAGAAATGATCATAATTTGCCTATCATTCGATCCAGAAAGGT